GCTGGAAGACAAATTCCATGGGCTGTGGGCCCCTGGAAGCCGGCCGTGTTCAGGATTCGGGAGGGCAGAAGGCCCAGCACCTTACCCAGCTGGGAGCGAGCCCCTGGCCAGGACGGAGAGGCATGGGGAGGTCTGGGCGGCTGCAGGAGACTTGGATGTTCACTCTCCATGTGCCCATGGGCTGTCCTGCCCTCCCTGGGCCTCAGTTTCCTTTACACAGAGAAGGGCAGAAAGGACATGTTCATGTGCCCAGCAAGAGCTGGGGCCAGGCTGACTTTGGGACAGCCACCAGGTCTGATTCCTCCTCTTACTCGGGGGTCTGGAGACGCAACAATGCTACCAGGCCCTGAGGGAAAGTCTTCTCCTGAGAGGAAAGCCCTTGGCCAGGTTTGTCCAGGGTCCCCAAGGCCACCCCCCAGGTTCTGTGATTCTCCAAAAGGACTCAGCATAGAGTCACACTCATGGCTAAGATTTATTCTAACTAAGGAGACAGAGCAAAACCTGCAAAGAGAAAAAGGCACATGGGGTGAACTCTGGAGGAGACCAGTCATGAACTTCCAGACCTCTCCCCTTAGAGTCACCCTGGAGGCACTGAATCCCCCGGCAACAAGCTGGGACCATGAAGTGTCTACCAAGCAAGCTCGTTAGAGATCCAGCATCCAGGGGTTTTATCAGGCCTGGTCTTGTAAGCACCCTCTGCCCAGCGTGTACCAAAATTCCAGACTCTCCGAGGGAAAGCAGGTGTCAGCACAGCGCACTACTTGTCCAGTTTGGGTGCAGGGGGCTACTCTTACCATAGCGGGAAAGTTGTCGTCAGTGTAGGGGACTGTTTAGCGGTCACGTTTCCAGACACCAGTGGAGGGCCAACCCGGCCGGCGGGCCCGTCAGGACTGGCAGCCTCAGACGTGCTGTGTCGGGGCTCTTCTGCGCACCAGGGCTTCTGGCAGGTTGTGGTTTGAGTACACCTGGGGAAGGAGAGTGGGCAGGTTGAGGACAGAGTGATCAACCACCCTGGCTGGCCTGGGACTGGGGGATTTCCCTTGATGGGGACTTTCTGTGCTAAAACCAGGACCACGGTGGGCACACCAGGAGGGCTGCTCATCTAGTTGGGGCACAATTTCAGGAGGGAAGATGCTGTTGGCAGAGGGTGGTGGCAAGAGTGCGAGGCTCAGCCTGGAAGGAGGCAGAGGGAAGGGAGGGAGGGTAGCCACGTCGGGGCCTTATCTGGAGGGCTCCCGACAGAGGCCTGTGTCCCTGCATCCTGACCACACATCCTCAAGTAGCACTTTGACAGACCTGGAGACTGAGCCAGGCAGGTTCAGTGCCCAGCCCAGGTTACAGGGTGGGCAGGCAGTAGGACCAAACTGGTACCCTAACCTCCTCACAGTCATCTGTCAGCTCATCTGGCCCTGATCCCAACTGGAATGGGAACAGGTGTTGGCGAGTCCCCACACCTCTCTGCACCTCAGTTTTCATCTGTCAGCAGGTGTGTTGGATGAGAAAGGCTCTGAGGTATCCCGGCTCTCCTTTCCACCCTCCCTCTGGGAAGGAGACAAACTCATCTCCTACAGCTCTGATGTCCTGCCAGGTGGACCCATGGCTTGTTCCTCATCGAGGACCTTGCAGTCCGAGGAGGGCATTCAGGTCAGATCCCCACCCCAGGCCATTCCATCCCTCAAAGTCACCAATAAGGCAGTTCTGGGATCAGGAGGAAGGTGGAGGGTGCTAGCAAGTAGAATCAGGAAGGAAATAAGGGGACATCCCTGGTGGCACAGTGGTTAAGACTCCGCGCACCCAATGTTGGGGGCCCGGGTTCCATCCCTGGTCAGGGAACTAGATCCTGCGTGCCACAACTAAAGGATCCTGCATGCCGCAACTAAAAAAAAAGATCCCTCACACGACAACGAAGATCCCACCATGTGCTGCAACTAAGACCCGATGCAGCCAAATAAATAAACCCACAGAACTGAGTAACTACCTTTCTCCAACACCTCTCCCCACCAAAAAAAGGCCAGAAGTTTCTCTCCAGAGAGGGTAGTGGAGGGCATCTGGAATGAACTGCCTCAACCCTCTGGGAGAGTGGGCTTACCTTGCTAAAATCTGAGTGACTGTGGCAGTTCGAAATGCAGCCTCAAATCCTTGGGCACTCCTCCCCTTGAGACTGAGGTCAGAGACCCCCTCTTGAGTTTAGATGGGGCCGTGGCCACTTCCACCATGGAGAACGCAGACCCTGTGTGCTTCTTGAGGCTGGTCATGAAAGGCAACGGGGTCTCCCTTGTTTGCTGGAGCACCCACGGTTGAACCCCTGAGCTAAGCAAGAGAGGCTGGCACACACGGGCTCTTGGTAGACTGTCTCTAGCTTTGAGTGGTTCCAGTGGAGGCCCCAGTCATTGTACAGCAGAGACAAGCCATCCTCAAAACACAAGCACAATAAAGCAAGCGGCGGCGTCTGTTCCGTAGCAACGGTAACGATGATGAAGGAAACATACGCATGCTCAAACCTGAGGCCACACACCCCGACCCACCCAGCTGTCCTCCTCAGCCAGGCTCCCAAAATGTTGGCAGCTCTGGAAATGCCTCTGCAAAGTCTCACCAGCCCAAGAGGAAAGACCTAAGAAGATGACAGCAGTAGCTACCCAAGAAAATGGCCTGATGGCGAGGTTCACTGCCAACATGCTCTACTCATGTGCTAGAGTTCCTTCTTTTTAGCCCACCGTTCTTTCTTTTTCTTTTTTATATCACAGCTTTATTGAGGTATAATTCACCTAACATAAAATTCGCTCTTTAATGTGTACTCAGCGGCTCATCATACATTCAGTTAATTGTGCAACTATATAATTCCTGAACATTTTCACCACCCCAAAAAGAAATCCCATACCCATTAGTCACTCCCCATTACACCACCACCCCCATCTCCCCAGCCCCTGAAAACAATTCATCTACTTTCAACTCTACAGACTTGCCTCTTCAGGACATTGCATATAAATGAAATCATGTAATATGTGGTCTCATTGGACTGGTTCCTGTTAACTGAAAAAAATGCGCAACCTAAAAGTTGAGAATTGTTTTATTTGGTGGACTTTCTGAGGATTTCAAACCCGGGAGGCAGCCTCTCAGATTGCTCTGAGGGACTGCTCCGAAGAGGTATTGAAGAGGAACCAGGATGTATAGTTTTGTAACAAACACCAGGTGGTCATAACAACAAAAGATTACTGTTAATTAAAGAAAACCGGGCATCTCAAGTTAATTAATTTAGCACTTTTTATGTATGCGAAGATGCTAGTCTGGGCTCATTGAAATCATTCCTTTGATATGCACCTCAGCTATCTGGGGCCAGTATCCTGTTCGTTCCCATCCTGAGTCCCCTCAGGGCTCACCATCAAGGGGCAGCTGTAGTGGCTTGATGGCTGCAACATCCTTTGTTCACTGATTTAGATTTAGATTCCACACTTTAGAAATTTAAAAAAAAAAAAGGAAAAGAATGGAGGAGAGGAGAAGGAAACAGGAAGAAAAAGGAAGAAGGAAGGGAAGGAGGGTGGGCGAAAAAACACCTCACGTACAATTTTTGGACTCCACATAAACTCAAAAAGCTTGAAAGCTAGAGGTTCACAGAGTAACCAAGGCTTCAAAATCAGGAAATGATTTCTAAAACACCCAGCCACACTATCAATCAATCAGGAGGATATAATAAAGACATTTCAGACCTGCAAGGCCTTTACTGACCTCCTTTGCATCATTTCTCACAGAGGTACTGAAGGATGTGCTCCACCCAAACAAGGGCATAAATCAAGACATAAGATAAAGGACAGAAAATAAGAGAAGGGAAGCCCAATAAGTTTATTTTTAAAAACTAAATTAAAAATAAACCGCCAGGCAGGTCCCTGGAATCTTAAGCCAAAAATACAAAGCAATTCTTAATTCCATGGAAATAAAAAGTCGTGCAGGGCTTCCCCGGTGGCGCAGTGGTTGAGGGTCCGCCTGCCGATGCAGGGGACGCAGGTTCGTGCCCCAGTCTGGGAGGATCCCACATGCCGCGGAGCGGCTGGGCCCGTGAGCCATGGCCGCTGGGCCTGCGCGTCCGGAGCCTGTGCTCCGCAGCGGGAGGGGCCACAGCGGTAAGAGAACCACGTACCGCAAAAAAAAAAAAAAGGCGTGCAGGAAGAAAGATAAATCAAGTCCACGTACACAACTCAGATACATCTTGCTTGGCTTACCCCGCAGTTTCTTTTACAAGTAAACGTCAATATTTAAAAGTCAAGAGACTGCACATAAAATTCCAGAATCCTAGATTCTTTTTTGGAAAAACTGCAAGATCTAGGCAATCTGTGCCTACATTTCCGCACACCTGCGCTGAGAGGCCTTCCCAGCGTGTCAAAGCCCAGCCCTGGGCAGTCTACAGCCGGGGCTTCTCTAGAGGCTGTGAGAAGCCCGCGGGTAAGGCGCGGGGGTGGGAGGTGGTGGGAAGCACGCACTGACGACAAAGCGTCGCCTCCTATACTCCGATTGAGGGCTGGGTACTGACCAGAGGGTCCCCAGGCCTCCCAGCCTCCGTTTCTGGACACTTTATTCTTCCCCACCGCCCCTCCCATTTTTCCGAAGTTGCTCAGCACCTGTCACTCACTTCCTCTGTCCGCGTCCTGCGCGAACATCGCCCCAGCAGGAAAAAGGAACCGGAAGTGATTTCCGGCTGGGCGGCAGGCGGCGAGCCTCGCTTCCGGCGGCGCGCCGAGTGACGTAAAAGAGCGCGCCGCGCAGCGTAGGCTGAGGGCCGTGCTGGGACGTATGGAGGTCAGCCGGGGCTCTTGCGCCAGCGGCGGTGGTGGCGGCGTAGGTCTCGGGGCCGGGGGGAAGAGGGTCCTGAGGAGCCTAGGTCCTGAAGACATGGGGGCGTGGCCGGGAGAGGAGACCGGGAGGGCGCACGGGACGCAGGGTGTAGGGGTGGGGGACGGGGGTCACAGGGGTGGGGACGGGGGTCACAGGGGTGGGGGCGGGCCCGGCCCAGAGCCTCGCCTGCTCGTGCGCACGCGCCCTTTTTCCGAGGTCCAGCGTGGCGGCCTGCGATCCCGCACTGGTCCTCCGCGCTGTCGCTGGCTGGCCTTCGTGCAAGTCGTTCACTTTCTGCGTCTGAGGGCCGAACTTCTGGGTTGGTGTTTCCACAAATTCCAGTTGGGCTTCTGAACTTGTTTTCCTCGCTAGCTCGTAGGACGGTCTTTAGTCGGGAACGTTTTCAGTGCTTCCCCGCCGTTGGGGCTCTGTGGATGGTGGATGTTACCCTTGGATCGGTGTTCCTCCTCTCTGAGTCTCTTGCTTTATGTGCAGTTAATCTAAGCTTTCTACAGCTACAACAGTGAGCTCACGTAAAAATAAAATGTCCCAGGCCAAGTTCTCGGAAATCGAAGGTCAAACACGCTCTCTGCTTTGGCAGGAGGGAGGCCCAGGTTATAACGCCTTTTATCGTGCCCCGGCGGGGTGCCTTACCCAGGTCATTTATTCACGCTGGTGAGCAGGACAGAGTTGTTAAAAGCAGCTGCATCGGGATATGTAACATTCATGGAGGAGGTAACGTTTTTTGTCTGGGTGCGGGAAGATGGGGGGTGATTTTCCGAGCCCTATGAAGGGGGGTTAAAAAAAAAGAGGCAGCAGGCCTTGCCCTGCCCTGCCCTGCCCTGCCAAGGTGTAATGAAAGTGCAAGGCCTGTTTAGAATGAGGGTGTGTTCCAGGGAGGAAAAACAGGTAAAACTGGGAAGACAGTTCTGGGCCATGTTGTGAAGTGCTTTTTATGATTGGTTCAGGAGGTTTGCTCTTGGAAAGTTGTGTGTGTGTGTGTGTGTGTGTGTGTGTGTGCGCGCGCGCGCGCGCGCGTGTTTAGTAGGTCGGTGAGTAACAGTGTAGCTTGGTTTGGGGAGGCTCACTCACAATCTGTAAGTATTAAAATAACATCCACAGAAGCTGTGGGATGTATATGTGGATGATATGTCCAGGGTTTTCCATGAGTAGTCTAATTTAAAATATCCTGTCTCATCGTCTCCATAAGTCAATAATTTTTAATCCTGCGTACTTTTAAAAATTCAAAAAGTGGGGGGGGGGGACGCTGTTCAAGCCCTGTGTGCAGAGACTCCCACTCAAGAGGTCTTGCGTCGGGCCTGGGATCTGAGGTGTTGAGCCATTCCCTAGGTGATTCTACAGCCAGGACTGGAAACCCTCCAGCCCAAGCTCCTAAGTGATGCTCCTAAGTCTCGTTATTTGGTTATATCATGTACTGAAGCAGAAGTCCTCTGAGATTTTTGCTTCAGAAAACGCTGCTGCATGCGCATGGTCAGTCAGGAAGGAGAGGTTTGGGCTGGTTTATGGGGAGTGTGACTGTGACTCTTTATTTTTTTAATAAATTTATTTTATTTATTTATTTTTGGCTGCGTTGGGTCTTCGTTGCTGCGCGCGGGCTTTCTCTAGTTGGGGCGAGCGGGGGCTACTCTTCGTTGTGGTGCGCGGGCTTCTCATTGCGGTGGCTTCTCTTGTTGCGGAGCATGGGCTCTAGGCACATGGGCTTCAGTAGTTGTGGCGCGTGGGCTTAGTTGCTCTGTGGCATGTGGGATCTTCTCGGACCAGGGATTGAACCGTGTCCCCTGCATTGGCAGGTGGATTCTTAACCACTGCACCACCAGGGAAGTCCTTATGACTCCTTTTCATTTGTCTGGTTCTTCTGTTGTGTTTGGGAGTCGGGAACTGCCTCTGCACCACTCCCTTCTCTGTTCTTTTTCTCTTCAGGGCTTTGGAGTCACTTGCTAGGAGGCTTCTCTCCCCGCCCCCCAGGCCGGCATGGCTGCTCGGCTGGTGAAGCGATGCACGTGCTTCCTGAGGGAAGCCACCCGTCTGGCCCCTGCCGTGTCCCCGGTTGGCCAGCTGAGACTCGCCCGGAGAGCCCAGAAGCCTCTGACGTCCTCGGCTACCTCATCCAGCTCCCGCCTCCCAGGTCCTTTGTCAGAGCTTGTGGAGAAGGAACAGGTGTTTACTCCCTACCCTGAGCGCCAGGAGGTGGACCAGCTCATCGAGAAGGCCACCAGGCCAGAGGAGCTCCTGGAGCTTCTGGGTGGCGGACACTGTCTGCACGAGAACCACGCCGCCCTCACACTCATCCAGCTCTCTCGCCTGCTGTCTGAGAAGCCGAAAGACAAAGCCTTGCTCATACAGGATGCCCGCTTTCGGCAACTTCTCCATCTTGTCAACAACCAGGTGGGTTCGAGAGCCCTTTCTGCAGGTTCAACAAGCAGAAAACAGCAGAGGCCCCGGAGTCCGAAGCATCCAGTCACTTTCCGGGTGTAGACAGGAGCTCTGCTGTGTGTTCAGGCCCTCCACGTCCAGGGGTATTTTTTCATTTTATAGATTCCAAAGTACTTTAATGTGTTTCTTCTCTTTTTTAAAATTAATTTTTATTAGAATATAGTTGCTTTACACCGTAGTTTCTGCTGTACAGCAAAGTGAATTAGCTATTCAAATACACATAACTCCTCTTTTTTGGATTTCCTTCCCAATTAGGTCTGCTTTCTCTTGTTAATCCTCACAGCAGGTCTGTTAGGTGAACATTGCTGTCCTCATCTTACAGATAAGCAACTCAGACACAGTAAATAGAAGCAGAAGGATCGAGCATGGTTCTTCTCAATGCCTTGGGGGCTTTCCCCCTCGCCCTGCAGTCTTGGCTTGCATAGCCCCCACTCAGTGTCTGGCTGACGGGGGAAAACACTCTTGAAGCTGGAGGAGATGAGGGGTGACTAGCAGAGGATCTCAGAAACTTGAGCTGCCCATGGGCGTTATCCGATCAGATCCTTAAAGGTGGAGCGTGGAGAGAAGGGACCTGTGTGTGGCAGGGATTGGGGGCAGGACTCTACCCAGTTTGTGTTCCGTGTGAGGAAGGACTCCCTTCATGCAGACTCTTCCCGTGGCTCCATGGGGTCTGCTGGAGCCAGAGGGCCTGGGGCGCAGCAGAGAGGTACAGACCCTCCCCCTGGCTGCTCCAGAAGGGCGAGGCCCTGTGTCCACTTGTCAGGGATGGTGAGGAGGAGACTTGCAGCTCAAGGAAGGGACCACATTAAATGAAATTTTTCAAACTGTAGGTTATGAAAGTGTAGTGGAAGTGGCCAAGTGTTTTTAATAAGATAGAGTAATGTAGAAAACAGTTCACATGTAGTAAGGGAAGTGTTCCGTGGAACTTTTTGTCTTAGTTAAGTGTGTATGTGCGGGTCACAGTAGAGCTTTATTTCTTACTGAGAATATAACAAAAATTAAGTAGATCCCTTGTTTTTCTAAGACTATAATTCTAGTTGTTATTCATTGAACATTTTACACACAAAATAAGCTTTAGAGATAAGGCTGAACATTTGGAACAAAATTACATTGTAACAAATTACATTGTAACAAAATTACAAACTAGTAATGAACCAGGAACAAAGTATTTAGAAATGTAAGCAGTGAACAAGATTTCTTTTAAAGAGCCTTCCTACTTCAGGGAAATCTGCAGAAAAAGCAGGAGCCACTGGAGGCTCATGTGATGCTGAGATCAAATTCATACCTATTTTTTGTTTTGCTGCACCACACAGCTTGTGGGATCTTAGTTCCCCAAACCAGGGACTGAACCCAGCCCCTGCAGTGGAAGCGCAGGGTCCTAACCACTGGACTGCCAGGGAAGTCCCGCATACTTTTCTCCTTCTGCCCGGCCTTTCACACAACAGCTTTTTTGTTTGCCCCTCACGTGTGTGTGATTTCAGCTCCCCCTCTCAGCAGTGCAGCCCCATTTCACAGATGAGGGCTCAGGAGACTTGCAGAGTGGTGGAGTTAAGGGCCTTAGCCCCGCAGACAACAGAGCCCTGCTCAGCTACTGAATACTGCCTTCCCTGAGGGTGGGACCAGAGGGCTCCCCGAGTGGCCCCCGTATTCCCCTGAGGCCTGGAGACACACCCTGCAGGGAGCGCTGTGGTGGGCCTGCTGGCCCAGACAGGCTGTGAGGGAGGAGCAGCCTGGTGCGCCCGCGTAAGTGACAGGTGGGGAGCTGCTTCTAGGGAGGCAGCCACCAGCTTGGAGCGTCGGCCCGCTCTGTGACAGCACAGGGTCAGCAGGGTCCCGGGTGTGACCTTGCCTGTGTCCCCCCACCCAGATCACTGCAGTCTGGCATGGGACCCTCGTGAAGCTGCTCCGGAGCCTCTATGCACTGGGCCTTCCCCCCACCTCCAAGGAGCTGCGGTCGGTGGAGCAGGAGGTCCGCTGGCGCATGCGCAGGCTGAAGTACAAGCACCTGGCCTTCCTGGCCGAGTCCAGCGCCAACTACATGCAGGAGCAGGACTCCCAGGAGCTGCTGGCCGAGCTGCTGGTGCAGCTGGAGCGGCGCTGGGCAGAAATCGATGACAGCCGCATGCTGGTGGCCATGATGATGAAGACGGGGCACCTCTCCGAGTCTCTGATGACCCGCCTGGAGGACAAGGTACTGGGATCCAGAGCCCTGGCAGCTTCTGTCCAGAGTCTGGGGCATGGCATTGGAGGGACTGGCGCTTCAGACAGCTGGAGGCAGCTCTCCGCACCCACTGGCTCCTCCAAGGATCCAGGGGGGTGCAGAGCCTGAACCCCACTCCTTTGTATTCCTCCAAAATTGCGTCTTGCACATAACCTGGAGGCGGCGTGCCGGCAACTCCTGAAGTGTGTCCTGGGCCGCCCCAGGGCTCAGCCTCCGGCTAGTGCTTCCTAGAGACTCCACGCCTGCCCACCCCCTGCTCCACCCCCAGCGCTGCAGTCTAGTCAAATTCAGCCCCTGTTCCCGTGGTAGCGGGGGCTGGCCCAGATGACTGCTACAGCAAGCTCCGCAGCTCATGGGCCCCGGGTCCCCTGCCCTGGGGCCTGGGGATAAGTTTGGCTGCAGACATGGCGCCCCCGTCTGGGGGCTCCCTGGGGTGGGCGTGGGGGCAGGCCCTGCACGGGTGGGGCCTGTGTTTAGTAAGCTCAGGCCCAGTTACTGTCTCGCAGGGCCTGCACTGCATGGGACCCCTGGCCCTCGGGCCGTCGAGCTGACCCTGCCGGCTGTGGTTGACAGTGCCTGGAGCTGGTGGAGCATTTTGGCCCCGAGGAGCTGCGGAAGGTGCTGGTGACATTGGCAGCTCAGAACCGGCGGTCGGTGCCCTTGCTGCGGGCCATCTCGTACCACCTGGTCCAGAAGCCCTTCCCCCTGACGAAAGGCATCCTCCTGGACCTGGCCTACGCCTATGGTGAGCCCTGTGCGCGGAGAGCAGAGTGGGGCGGGGGCTGAGCTCTGGCCGCAGCTGTGTCAAATTCGGTGCCTGCCTCACCGTGGCGGGCACTGGCCTAAAAGGCTGCCACAGAAACACTGTGACTCACGGGCCCTGATCCTCTCTGCTGGGCCTCAGGGATAAATTTGGTTACAGACACCAAGCTCTTGCTTCTTGAGACCAGGGTGGGTGGCGGGTGGGCCTGAGGGTGGCCTGCCGATCCTCACCAGTTAAATCTCGGGCTCTGTCCCCAAGGCAAACTCGGCTTCCACCAGACGCAGGTGTTCCAGCGCTTGGCTGCAGACTTGTTGCCCCACACTCCTAGCCTGACGTCCAGCGAGGTGGCACGCTGCACCAAGTCCTTTGCCTTCCTTAAGTGGCTCAATCTGCCCCTGTTTGAGGCCTTTGCCCAGGTGAGCTGGGGTGCAGGCCTGAGGCCTGGCTTTGAGGGCCTTCTGTGCCTGACCCCCTGCATAAGCCGGCTCCCTGGTCATTTCATTAGGGAGCCCCCTCCGGCCTGGAAACACTTCCTGGTGGCAAACGTGGAGTCCTTATTCTGGCTTATTTGGAGAGAAATGATACGGTTTAGTAGTGAAAGAAAATATAGTTGTAAACGGTTTCTTCCATTCTTTCACCAAACTTCGTAGGAGTTTTTGTCTGTCTTTGGATAGCTGTGTGGGGAGCAGTGTAGACAGCGAGGCTGAGAATCCACTCAGAACTCTCCCTGAACTTCCAGCTACCCCAGAATGGAGTTGTGAAGAAAGAGGATGTTTGCACTTAGGTTTATGTGCCAACAGGTTGAAACTGTGTTTGTAGGCTGAGGAGTATTTCTAAAGCTGCTGTCAGAGGCCTTTTGTGTGTGCGATTGCCTCTGGGAGGATAGGGTCTGGCCCACTGCCCTGTGTAAATTACCCCTTGGGGCTGGGAGCTCATGGGCTCTGGGGGAGGGCCAGGTCTGTATGGGGCACTGGCCACCGGGCACCTCTCATCCGGCCTTTCTGTCCTACCTGACCGGCCCAGCACGTCCTGGACAGAGCCCAGAGCATCACTCTGCCACACCTGTACAACATGCTCCTGGCTTTCGCCCGTGTGAACTTCCGCCCAGAACGGGAGGATCCGTTCTTCAGCCTGGTACAGTCTTCACGCCCCCAGCTCCTACACTCTCCCTGCCTCGGATGCTCAGCCCTCCTCGGAGCAGCTCGGGACTGAGTGGGAGGGAGGGAAGAGACCGGATATGTGCTGAGGGGCCCCGGGTGTAGGCAGTAAGGAAGAAGGCCCGGCATGGGCACGTGGAGGGAGCTGGCTAGAGCCAGCGTCCCAGGGATTGTCTGGGGACGAGACACGCAAAATCCAGCATGGCAGCCAAGGGTCAGGAGGGCATCCGACGGCTCACTGTGCAGTAGGGCTGGGGGACCCTTGCTTTTGCTTCCTAGGGCTCCCTCAATGCCCTGTTGGGGCTCAGAGACCTCAATCCACTTGCAGGGGTGAGAGCGTCCTGCGAGTGGACTGGGTATGACCCTAGGGCCCCGCGGTGGGCCCTGCCCCAGCCAGCCAGCTACTTCCCCTTTCATAATCTCTAACTCCTCTCAGGGCCAGAAATACCTCCCCTGTGCAGGAGACGTGGTTTTGTGCCATAGGTCCCTGCCAGTGGGAGGGGCAGCGGGGGGAACACAGCTGCCGTCCAGATTGGGCCTAAGGGATGAGGAGGGTTTCTGGTACCTTCCACCAGGGGTGCCCCAAGCCTGACCAAGAGCACCTTGGCCAGCGTTGCTCCCCATCACCCTCTTGGGCCTCAGTGTGGCCAGGTCATAACGCAGCTCCAGGTGCTGCCCACCCAGGGATGCCTGTGGCCACGGAGCAAACCTGCTTTCCCCACCCCACCCCGTCCTTGCCCAGGTGCATGAGAAGCTGGGGTCAGAGCTGGCGGGCCTGGAGCCAGCCCTGCAGGTGGACGTGGTGTGGGCCCTGTGTGTGCTGCAGCAGGTGCTGGAGGCCGAGCTGCAGGCTGTGCTCCACCCTGAGTTTCACACCCAGTTTCTAGGTGAGCGGTGGCGGGTATTCCTCCCTCTCCTGAGTGATGGCAAGCCCCCTGTGCATCCCCCGCCCCATCCCAAGTACCGCCCCAGCCTTGAGCCAGGAGGGCGCCTGGGAGCCTCAGGGCTCCGCTCACCACCCGGGAGACCGGGCAAGCCCGGGCTCACCCAGCATCTGCTCCTTCTGTGTCCACTCCTAGTGGGTGACTGGCAGACCCTCTTCCCGCTGCTCCTGGCCCAGAGTCCAGGGTGAGACTTGGGTGAGGGGTGCCTCTGGCTCTCCCACCTGGCCCCCGTGTCCCTCCACCGTCTTCCTCCTGGCCCTCCGCTAGCTCCTCCCCTCTCTCTCCATCCTCTACCGTTAGGTGTCGAGTCCCCAAAGGATCAAAGCACCTTCCAGAAGCTGCTCCATATCAATGCCACTGCCCAGCTGGAGCACCCCGAGTACACGGGCCCCCTTTTGCCAGCCTCAGCCTTGGTCCCCAGGCCCTCGGCCCTTGACAGGAAGGTGACCCCCTTGCAGAAGGAACTGCAGGAGACGCTGAAGGGGCTGCTGGGGAGTGCCGACAAGGGCAGCTTCATGGTGGCCACGCAGTATGGCTGGGTTCTGGGTGAGGGCCCTCCCCCTCCCCCTTCCCCTCCCCCTCCCCCTCCCCCTTCCC